AGAATCCAGGGCTTAAGCTTTCTTTGGCATCTTTTTGTCGCATCCGTCCAGCTAATATTAAATTAACAAGAAGTTATTGTCTTTGCACAAAGCATCAGACTTTTGCTTTGTGCACCCAGGCATTACGAAAATGTGGCGTAAATGTTCCACTCAATCCCGAAAAATTCATTGAAGACAACTCAGAAAACATGGACAAAGTAAAAGAATGTACACATAATGATATTACATTTGGCCAATGAAAACGTGTGGCAGTAGATGACAGAGGAAACAAAAAAATAATAATGATAGTAGAAAAGCTAACATTACAAGGACAAGAGTTTTCGGAGCATGTCCAGAGAGTGCGCAAGCAACATAAAGAGTGCCTGAATATTAAACAGAATCTGCCATTGAACGAGGTAGTGTAAAATATGGATTTCGCTGAAAATTATGCATGCAAAAGTGTGGAAGAAATACAATCAGCTTATTGGAATATGAGCGCTGTGACATTACATCCAATAGTCGTATACTACAAGTCTGGTGGCGAAGAATTAAAACACAAAAGCATCGTTATGGTTTCTGATGAAATGGCCCATAACTCTAACACTGTTCTAACATTCATTGATAGAGTAATACCGGAGATAAAGAAGCTGGTTCCAGCTTTACAAAAGGTTCACTATTTCACCATGACGATATATACGGGTGTTCAGCGGTCTGGTCATACTATGAAGCAGGTCATAACAAGGGCCCCTGTGATGGTCTTGGGGGCACGGTAAAGCGCATGGCTGACGAAGCTGTTAAGGCTGGAAAGGTATTGTTGATAACAAATTATATGACACATCAATTATAAAAAAGATATATCATAACAAAATAACAATAACAACAAAAAACATGAACAACAAATTCAACAACTGTTACAGTATTTAACAAATATGCAACAATTACATCAAAAGTCTAATACATAATTATAAATATTAACAAAACTCTTTAACTATAATAAATTAACAGTTGTAACAATAAAATGTACACATTGGCAATAATAATAATAATAATAATAATATGATTATAACAATGCAATAATAATTTACAAACATGATAATATACAATAAAATTGATAAAAGTACTTCTCATTTATAAGGTTACATATTGTAATATATTTACATATCGTAAATTACTTTTATTTGTTCAGGTGACAATACAGGATGCTGAAGATTTTTTCCGGTGGACTCAATCCGAACACTGTACGATGAAAAAGTATTCACTTTATGTATGTATCACAATCTGATTGCCAAGAAAAGGCAAACGATGTAAATACGTGGAACGTCAAACCTGTCAAAGGAACCATGAAAATACATACTGTTGTCGGAAAAGGAAAAAATATGATTATGACATCGACAGTGAGTTGTTATTGTACAGACTGCCTTTGTGACAATCAAGAAAGATGCAAACTTAATTCTTGGACATCTCAAACACTTAACTCACTTGAAAATGTAACCTGTACTGACGATGCTAATAATATGCAAAAGCCTCAACCCGAGCTGCCAGTTGAACGTCTGTTTGGTGATGATCGTGAATCAATAGTTTTAGAGTTGGATTTATGTGCAGGTGATTTTGTTGCGGCAAGGTATGATCACAATGTATATATAGGGAAGGTTGTCGAGTGCGATAATGAAGATGGAGAAGTGGAATTCACATTCATGCAAAACGTTAGGAAGTTATTACAATGGCCTAAGCATGAGGACAAAATATGGGTTGACAGGGATAATGTAATCTGCAAAGTTTCGGAACCAATGCCAACTGGAAAATCGAAACGAATGTTTAAATTAGATGAATCCGATTGGCAGAAAATTGATGGTAAAAATTAAATTAGAACTAGCTTGGAATGTGAATTGGCACAATAGATATTATCAGGTATCTTGAGTATTAAGTTATGGATTCTGAACTGATGAAATTTAGCACTGAATATTAATATCAATAAAATTTGAATGAACCTTTCAATATTTTATTTCCGACAAAATTTAGATACCGGGAAACGTGTGCTATTTGAATGATACGTACTTATTTTCTCTATACCAGGGATACAGTGTCATTGTGTTGAATGGAATTTTTCATCAGTTTGTCCCGTTTAGATTTTCAACATATTGACAGTATTTCATATTTTGAATATACACAAACCTTAAATGTTAAATATTGGACCAAGTTCGACTGTTATATGTTTTTATTTTTTTTGGGGCTTTCCACAATTCCGATTTATAAAAAGTATTTTTTTTACGTGTAAAGCAATTTTTACACAATTCTTCATAGGGAAAAAAAGACAAATAAATTGAATAAAACAACCCTTTCCCTCCAAGTAATAAGTCGGTTGTTAACGATAAACATTAGAATAAATAAACAATTTTCACTAAAATTTTTTTGAATAAGGTTGGGTTTTTTTTCTTACATTACAACATTAATTTTAATATGTGCATTTTTTTCGTGAGTAAATCAGTTTTTCCCTTTTGTATTTAATAATTCTTTCCCAGCAAATTTAAATGAGAAAGAATTTTTAAATAAATGTAATTTTGGTTTGTTATACAATTTTAATTTTTAAAAAGATTTTTAATAAATTTGTTGGGGTTTTTTTTTTTATTTATTAATAGTTCATAACAAGTAAGTTAGTTACTATTTAGGTATACTAGAAGAGCTTGGTATACTCAAGTACTATTAGAGAAATTATTCTTAATGAATAACGTATTGCCTATCGAAACATTAGTGGTATCAGCATAATAAAAACATTGACTGTCAGATACGTTTACATTGCAAAAAAAGTCAACGTATTTAACATGTTCTTAGAACGAAAAAAAGTAGTGCCTGACAGCAAAATGCATTACTTTTTGATAAGTTAATACATAGAAACAGAGGAAACACCGCGTATAATAGCAGTGTCATCTTAAAGATAAAATACATATATGATATAAAATAAGTATTTTTCAACACAAAGTAAGAACTTTTCAATTTAATAAGAGTTTGGAATACATGGGTGTGAAAGTAACAAACCTTACAATGTGAAAAAAATGACATTTATTCAGGTATCTTCGAGGCATCGGGTAAAAAAAGCGTTTATGTTCATGTTGAAAATATTTCGGCATCATGTATATGAAACTATATGCAATCAAAATTCATGATTATTTGTTCAAAATTACCAATTTCATATTAAGATACTTTTCAACAAGTAAGTGCACCACTTTAGTGAGAAAGCGTGTCAGTATTGAAAGAAACCATTTTGTTGATTTGACATGAAAAATGCATGTAATATTATTATAATATTAGCCCCTTTTGTTACTATTTGTATATTTGTTACAATTATAATAATTAAAAATCAGACTTTGATATTTTTATCATATTATGTTACTGACTACAGTAGTGACACAAACAGAACACAGTACAGTCATGTCACATAACATTTACAAGTCTTGTAAGTCTTGTTGGTATTCAATGGAATTACTTTCCTTACCAGGTAGGCATCAGTGAAAGCATTTTTATATTAAACATCTTTCCCCTATATTTAATTATGGACAGTGCATAAGATAAGTATAATATTATGCAAAAAATGGTTTACAAAACATTTGGAAAAAATCTACAATAGTACATAATCTGAATATAGCATGACCTGTGCGTAGGAATAATTTGGTAAGGTATCTTTAATGAGCGCATTTTTGCACGGAGCTTCTCATATTGCTGCATTGCAGCAACACTTGTACTTGTATTAGTTTGGGAATCTTTCTCTTGAAAATGTGTCAGAGTTAACTCGTATACATATACATACACAGTGCGTTAACTGGAGTCCCGCACTCCAGAGCATGTCCATTGATTGGCTCATTTTTGCTGGGGTTTACATATTGTAACGGCAGAGAAAGGGATAGCGATAGAAATATCATATTCAGATGCTTGTTCATTGGTTCTTTTTTTCTGGGGTTTCATATTGTGACAACAGGGAACGTGACTATGATACAAAAGAGACAGATCATCAAAACACTCGGCAATCTGATTAATACTCGGGGCTACGCCCCCTCGTATCAGATATAGCGGCTATAGCCTCGTGTTTCGATGCTCTTTCTATTGCAGAAACCCGAAGTAGAAATATATACCTGTTAACTACTCTCCAACACATTGTATAATTAGAGCGTTTTTAAAATGAAATGTCATCAAAAAACAAAATTTCACCACAGGCTTGTATATTACATGGAACTAGATGATAAATGTCTTGTCAGACGAAAACACGTCTCAATGAAGTAATTGCAATGTTTATCCTACTGTTATTGTAAACAGTTGCAATTAATGTTTTATTTTGTAAACATTGACTTCATTATAAACACACCTGTTAACGGAATGCAAGCAGATAAGTTGAGTTCGGGTAGACCAATTGTGAGCTTGTTAAGTTTATTATCCTGCAATAGATTGCTTTAAATATATCATAGAAAATTATGTGTACGAAAGAGACAAAAACGAATAGTTTATCTATGTAATCCGGTTTAATTTATATACATGTAGCAAGTTCTGTTCTACTCGCTACATGTAAACAGGTGGATGTTTATATCAGTGTTAAGTGAAACATAACCACTGTTAGGTCACATTTATCTCATGGAAACTGCAAATTCTACTTAATAACTATGCATATTTTTTACCTTTTAACAAATATTTTGATATTTTAAGACCCGTTTTGTGTATAAGAGAGAGTAGCTATTATTCGTATTTCAGGTTAAAAATTAATTGATGATTAATTAATGATTATATGACATATTCTAAATAAAAATGTTACCAAAACGTACTTTATTTTTCTTTGGATGTCAATAGATACATTTGTTATTATCAAAGATAACCCCAGCCGCTTTTGTTCGCAGGTATTCAATCCGTATCAATTTAGTCCTTAATTATTATGAATAATAGTCGAGGTGTTCCGATTGAAGAGAGAGATTACTTAAACATTTAGTCGTGTTCAACATAGGGGTGGTAAAGTGAAAACGAAAGAAGAAGATATGGTAATTGTTTTCAAATAATTCTTTAATACAGTCCTAGGCACGGGTGTCAAATTCCATATGGACCTTAAAATTGTGCATCCGTAAAAGGAAATTTGATTTCCTTTCTTATAACACCATATGTGAAAGCGAAAGTAAATCATTCACAGGGTAAGTTTAAACTTTTTAAACATGTTTACATAACATTCAAAGCTCTTTTAAATTAAATCCGACGAAACTACATTCCTGACTTTCCTCTATACTCAACATTTTCCCGTTTTTGTATCAGATTTTTGAACAGATAGCAGCGTCGTAGCCACACTGTGACAAACTGAGGCAATTGCCTCGCTTCAAATTTGAGAAGTTAATAAATAAATTAAGTAGAAAAATCGATCTTGAAAATAAAAAATAATAAAAGAAAAGCCTCCAATATAAATTAAAGCAGAAGTGACTCAATCATCTATGAAGGATGCTAGATTAAATGGTCTAGCTTTGATATCATAAACAATTATCACTAGCATTGACTATAATGAGATTTTCAAGTTATGCATGGGATCTCCTGGAAACAAAAGATTTGACGTGGACTTTTCATGAAACTGTGAACCTGAGCTAACAGATAAATTAATTTGTATTTCAAATTGTTTTAGGAACATAAAGTTGCCTTGTATGTTTTCCAAATTATTCTAAAATTACTAAAATTATATAAAGATGATTAGATTCAGAATGACAAAAAGTTTGTCCTAGAGTGCTCCAAAATATATCAGAGACATTCTAGGTAAAAAAAAATCCCCCTAATATGTCTCGGTCATAAAATAGTTCTGGCTACGCCATTGGATAGATATGATAGAAATGGATAAAAGATAGGATAGGAAAGGATATGATAGAGGATAGGATAGGATATGAATGGAAAGAGGATAAAACAGGATATAATAGGAATGAGGATAGAATAGAAAAGAGGATAGGATAGCGTAAGATAGAGGATTGAATACATGGGAAAGAGGAGAGGATAGAAGATAGGATAGGAAAGATGATAAGGTAGGATAGGATAGAAAATATGATTTAGGCTAGAATAGAGGATATATGATAGAGGATAGGATAGAGAATAGGATAGAATATAGGATAGGAAAGATAATTATCAAATAGAGGATAGGATAGGAAAGACGATAGAATAGAGAATAGGATACATGGCATAGATGATAGGATAGACGATATGAGAGAGGATATGAAAGAAAAGAGGATAAGACGATAGGATAGGATATGGGTAAGGATAGAGGATAGGGTATAGCATAGGATAGAAGATATGGTAGGATAGACGATAGCATAGAGGATAGGATATGGAGTAGAGGATATGATAGGATAGGATAGGATAGAGGATAGGATAGGGGAAATGATAGGATAGAGGATAGGATATGATAGAGGATAGGATATGATAGAGGATAGGATATGATAGAGGATAGGATATGATAGAGGATAGGATATAATAGAGGATATGATATAATAGAGGATATGATATAAAAGGATAAGATAGAAGATAACATAGAGGATTGGTGATAGAGTAAAGGATAGGATAAGATACAAGATAGGATAGGATAGGATGGGGTAGGGTAGAGGATATGATAGGATAGATGATAGGATAGGATAGAGGAAAGAATAGACATCATAACCACTTTTTGAATAAAAAGAAAAGAAAAAACAAAAAGAAAAAAAACCTCTGCGAAAATATCGTTTAGCGCAGTTCAGAGAGGGAGTGTCATATACTTATATTTAGATTTAGTCATGCAGCTGTCTCAATGAATTGACCTGCGCGTATCTACATTATATAACAATAGTCAAGATGAGGCAAAATATATTCATTGTATAACATTTTACGTATATGTATAAACAGTTTTTAGAACGTTATCAATATGACTTTGCCATGACAAATATCATTAATTGTTATACCAATATTCAGAGCTGCAATGATTAATTTATGAAAGTGACTGAATCTTTGTTATCCCATTGTGTCATGTAACCCTTATTCCATGAAATTTCACTGTACCTTTCTTAGTAATTAATGGTTTGTGTCATTCTTGAGGACAACTTCTTTCAGGGCAAAGTTTTAAAGAAGATCAAGTTCAATTTGGCCTTGACTCATAGATGACCTTGACCTTTAATGTCAAACTATTATACTTCACACTTTGTTGCTTTGGCTATAATTGGCTATACTTTTGTAAGAAAAGAACAGAATTGATTCTCCTCATACCTGGTACAACAGGCTTTGGGACAAGACATTAAAGAAGAATTGATTGAACTTGTCTTTGACCTTTATTTGACCTTATCTTCACAGACTCATATTAGTTAATTTTGCCACAATGTCTCATTTCTTTGTTATATATTATCGATTTAATTAACGCTTGAAAAAGGTTAAATATGCCATTTAGATAAGATTGTCAACTTTGTTTTTTGTTTACGGATTTGATTTATACTAGGGCAAAAGAACCCTTATACAAAAAGCAGTATGTTGAATAATTCACATATGAAATTAACTTTGATTTGACCGGGACCGACAAAGTTATATTATTGAAATCTGGAAGCAAAGTAATTCCTCAGAAGCATTAATCAAAACAAAATTACATGACAATTACAGACTTGGTTTGAGTCTGTACATGAGGGATATTCAATAAGTGCAACATCCTTCACGCCCCTAGCAGTTTTCTTATTTATGAATTTGATTTTTTACTTGCACAAAGCAACACATATGACGAAATCGACATGTTGAATTGTTAGATATGACATTGACCTTTAATTCAATTATTGAAATTATTTTGTTTCATTCCTGGACAAAAAAACACATATGTCGAAACTGACTTGCTTTTGAATTTAAATGTGACATTGATCTCTGATTGACCTTGACTGTCTGGTCAAATATGAAATTGTACAAACATATTATGCTTTCTATGAATAGTCTTAACTACAAATGTACAATATTCTTCCTCCGATGTGCTTGGTTTTATGAATAAGAACAATTCAAAAGTGGTCCAAGCTAGGCTTTGGTTCTCGATTATATCACTTATCTCACAGCACTTCGTTATGGAGCTCCTGGAATTGTCACCGTTAATTTCTTGCATTTAGGTCAAACTTCTATAATTATTGAAAAAAAGTATATCCGAATATTAATCATTGTTCTGTGGTCTGATTTCATGTTAACTAAGTGTTTTAAGTCTGTTTTGTGCCATTTCATTCACAGCGGAAAGGGAGTGCAGGATAATCCGATACATAACGGGTGAATATAGAGGAAAGTTAGGAGATATATTCGATTTCAATTTTTTATGCTTCCCGAAGGGTGAGCATATAGTCGCCGCTTTGTCCTTCCGTCTGTCTGTCTGTCTGTCCGTCCGCTATTCTTGTCCGGGACATAACTTCGAAACAACAAGAGGTATCAACATTGCTTTGCCTGATTTTTGAATAATTGCCCTTCGTTTATTTTTACACTTTGAATTTTGTCCGGGACATAACTTTAAAACTGTAAGAGGTATCAAAATGAAACTTTGTAGGTAGATAGATCTCATTGAGTGGATGCGCAATGCACAAGAACCGTAACTTTGCCATGCCTAATCTTAAATAATTGCCCTTTGTTTATTTTTACACTTTGAACTTTGTCCGGGACATGACTCTAAAACTATAAGAGATATCAACATGAAACTTTGTAGGTAAATAGATCCAATTGACTGGATATGCAGTGATCAAAACCATAACTCTGCCTTGCCTAAATTTTGAATTATTGCCCTTTGTTTATTTTTACACTGAACTTTTTACGGTAAATTACTCTAAAACTATATGAGATATCAACATGAAACTTTGTAGGTAGATAGATCTCATTTTGTAGAAGTGCAGTGCTTAAAAATCATTACTCTGTCTTGCCTCATTTTGGAGTAATTGCCCATTGTTCATTTTTATACTTAAACTTTTGTCCGGGACATTTAACTAAAACTATAAGAGATATCAACATGAAAGTTTGTAGGTAGATAGATCTCATTGTGTTTAAGTACACTGTTAAAGAACTATAACTCTGTCTTGCCTTATTTTGGAGTTGTTGCCTTTTGTTCGTTTTTAAACTTGAACTTTGTTAGTGACATAAATCTAAAACTAAAAGAGATATCAACATGGCACTTTGTAGGTGTAGATAGATCTCATTGGATAGAAGTGCAGTGCTAAAGGCCCTAAACGCAGCCTTGCCTAATTCTTGAGTTATTGACCTTTGTTCATTTTTATACTTTGAACTTAACCCGGGACAAAACTATAAGAGATATCAACACAAAACTTTAGAGGTAGATATATCCCATTGAATAGAAGTGCAGTGCAAAGAACCATATACCTCTGTTTTGCCTAATTTTGAACTTTTTGCCCTTTGTTTATTTTTCCAACTTTTCTGTGTCCAAAACCTACTCGGGGAGCATCACCCGGTTCAACCGGTTCTTGATTTTTGTTTTTGTTTTTTTAAAGCTTTGAATGTATTTTTAAAAAAAGCTTTGAATGTTTTTAAAAATGTTTCAAAATTGAAAACTTATCCTGCTAAAATTGTTTAATTTTCATTGTGAAGGATTATATCAAGCTTTAAACTTAAGTATTAATTAGTTATGTAATTTGAAAACCTATACTTCATGTTATAATTAGTGATCTGTACTTTTTAAGCTGTACATAATTTAAATGTATCAAAACAATCTGTTCATTGTATATATATGTAAAGTGAACAAAGTTAGTAAAATATAAGCCCTTACTACATTATATTAGTAACGAAGTCGAAATGACACTTATTACTGCCTTAATTGCACAGAACATGTTAAATATTATTTGAATCATATTGTTTTCTTAAAATTTCAGTACATGTTTCTCAAGTTTAGTTTTTTTTTAATAATTTGGCTATTATGGAGGCCTGCAGCTTCAAAATGAGACCCCGTTAAAAACATATCAAAATCAACATAACTTACCTTTTGTTTCCTTATATTTCAAATATATTATTTTAAGGTACAACATTAATGGAAGCCTTGATAAATTTGTGTATGAACAGTAATACTTTCAGAAGATATAACATTAACTATGATAATATTTCAATTTTCATTTAAAACAACAATAGTCAAGCACATATTCCTTACATAAGGTACCATATCGGAAGTTATTGAAAACACATTTACATTTGTTTGTAAGAGGATTTTCCCAAAAGTTTGCAATATACTCCAATAACAAAAACCAGATCGACATTACATTTTCAATTCTATACATATTTAAAATCAATAAATATCCACTTTGTGTCCGAAATTTCATACATTTTATGATATGGGTTTACAAACATTTAAAACTATTCAGTAAACAAGCGGCGACAGATTGATTAAAAAAATCACTCGACATAAAGGCTATTATATAATCACTTCGTCCTGGCATTGGCATTGGTACCCAGCGTACCCGATCCGTTTGCTTTCCAAGAATGTATTTTAATACTCTGTTTGCAGAAGCATAACTGGTCCCTAGTATGTGCGATACGCACACACCTTCGCCAGTCTGTTAAGTTAATTAATGTCAATATGCTGCTATGAATGTGTTAATTCTCCCGCTCGAAAATCGCCTGCATAACTCTTTTCAACTAATGATAAACGTCAATGGCATTTTGCAAACCGTGCATATATATTCACATGGTCATTCCCTGTTGCTTGTTTCTCATTTTGATTGTTTCATTTGATGAGAGTTACAGAGACACACATAACCGTGTTAGATTCCGTTTTTCGTGAACGTTAAATAACGCCCTTGCTGTTTACTTTTCTCCTTGCTACTGAGTGCTGAAATAACTCTTTGATGTATGATGCCAAAGATCGTCCAAATATTGGCGTGCTTCTGTCTGTTCTGTTCTTGAAAAAGAACAAATAAAAAAGATATAAATGAATATTTTCCGTAAAACTTGATTGTTATTTCTATACTGAATATGTGTGTGGTCTCAAAAATGCAAAAGTGTTTTTTTTTTTAATTTGAACGTTCATGCGAACGTTTGGGATAACCCTCGTATGTCTATAACTTGTTTCAGCCAAAGCAGATATTTGCTATTTAATGTATGTTGTCATTGTTATTAAACAATCTTATTACCTACACTATTCGTGAAAAAGATATAAACTACAAATAAAATTTTAATGTTAATTACATAAGCACATTTTATTCTATCCCAATATTATAGAAGTAAGAACGACAATATAACATGGCTGAGGGTGGCGATTTGACTTTCATAAAAGATGGTTCGGATGCTGATTTTGAGTACACTTGCACTCCATGTGGGGATGATGATATCCGAGAAGAGGCTGTAAAGTTTTGCCCTGTATGTGAGGAATATCTGTGTACATCATGTACACGACAACATGGTCGGCGGAAAGCTACACGGTCACATACTTTACAAGATTGTGATGCTTTGACAACAAAAGGTACAGCGGTAACCATGGTCACAAAATGTCGTTATCATCTAGATCGTGACATTGAAATGTACTGCGAAGTACATGACATGGTCTATTGTATGAAATGTATTATTGATAATCACAGGTTTGTTTATTTATTTATTGTCTTTTTGGGGCTGTACCACTATGCTATTTAGGACGTTTACTCATAGAAATATACAGTATATAAATCTAGCAAATCATACAGGAAATATTTTTCTATTCATCGGACTAATGTCTTGATTATTAAATAAAAAGTGCGTTGAACATTGAAATATAATAAATTGAAATATAGAACTTGTTAGAAAAGATAATGATAGCCAGGACAATAACGGTTGTTTTTCATCATAAGCAAAACGAATCAGTAATTTGCACTTTTATACTTTGTTTTATAGCTCTCGAGGTATCTCCCCTTTTCCAGAATTTCATGAATTCCAAGATGCCCATCTTTCCAAAAAAGGCTCTTTTAAGTTAAGGAAAAGTAATTTAAAACAAACCTTTAATTACTATAGGAGAAAACAATTAAAAAGTCATGACGTTCATGATGATGGCATTTTGTTTAATTCAGATCCTGCAATGGAGTATCTAATTTAGAAGACGTGTCTTCACATCAGGTAAAAGAGATTGAGCGACTAAAGACAGACATGAAAACTATTCAAGAGCGTTTAGATGACACTGATCAGAAGTTGAAGACGAACATCAGTAGCGTTGAGAAGCAAAGAAACGAAATTATTTCTCAGATAGAGGGGATTGAGCGGGAATTCGTTGATCATATCCGTAAGCTGAAGCATAAAGCATTGGAAGCTCTTAATTCAGACTTTACTTTGGCCAAAGAAGAGGTTGAGATAAATGTTTCTCAGATTAGCAAAGTTAAACAAGAAATTGAGCAAGCATGTAGCCAATTACAGACAGTCGACAGTATGAATGTAAGGCAACAATTTGTACAGACAAAACTGGTACAACAGACTGTAAACAATGCTTTGAAAGTTTTTAAACAAAGCGAGGCTAAAGGTTGTCAGTATTTACGCTTCACGGAAAATGCGGAATTAAAATCTTTAATCATTGCGTCAACATCTTTAGGGTCTGTAGAGAAGACAACAGAAAACAACAGTCTGTTGTATAAAGTAAGTTCACAGAAGGAGATTAATATCAAAATGAAAAATGACGGTGTACAATGCTACATTAATGATATATGTCAGCTTACAGACGGTACAATCATATTGGCTGATAGCAATAACAAGAGGATAAAGAGGCTTGATGGGAATTATAACATTAAAGATTGTTTGGATCTAGAATCATATCCTAGAGGTATCTGTTGTACTGGTAATACCGAGGTCGCTGTGAAACTTTACAACGACAAAGTTTGGTTTATATCAACAGGAAACTCATTATCTAAGATGAGAGATATATCTGTTACAGGTGGAGGTTACTGGGGAATGGCATATTGTGCTGGACAGTTGTGGGTATCTGATTTAAATGGTGTAAATGTATACAATATGACTGATACATTATTAAAATCTTTCAGCAAGGATGTCAATGGTCAACGCATATTTAAATCATCTCCACAACAAATGGCTGTCAGTGGAGATACTATTATTGTAACAGATAATAGTGATGGTGCTGTCTGTCTGAACAGAGATGGTACGGTGAAGAGAGAACTGAGGGATAAAAGACTTGCCAACACACGTGGTGTATGTGTAGCCAATGACGGGACCGTGTTTATTTCTGGGTTAAACTCAAACAACATCTTGATGTTTGATAGAGATGGTAAATGTTTTGGAGAATTGGTGGGTAAAGATGCCGGTCTGATTAAACCAACATCATTGTTATATGATGACAAGAAAAACTGTTTAATTGTTGCATGCAATCCGGATAAGATCATAGTTTATTATACATGATATATTTGACATTAAAAGTAGGAGGAGCATATATCATTGTACTGCTACGATGATCATATTTTATATAGTTGTGAATTAAATTTAATGTAATCGCTGTACAGTGATTTTGTAAAAGAAATACTTTTTCTTCGAGGGTACGACTGTCTTTGTATAACATTACAAAATTCTTAGTCATGTGGCACGCTTGCTTTAACAGTAAGAATAACTCCCAGGGGCCTATGGGAAATTATCATTACGAAATAAGTGAGGTGTAATAATAAAAAATAATACTTTTAAGGAAAATTTTAAGTTCAAGGGGAGATAACTGAAATATTGATGCTAGAGTTATGAACCTTGTCATATAAGATGCGGTTGATGATAAGGAACATATATTTGAAGTTGATACCTTTAGAAATAAAAAAGTTATAATGGAAAATATTTTACTGCACAAAAAACTTTAATCTGAAATCTGGACAGTCCGGTTTTTTGTTTTATTATACGATTAATGAAATGAATTAAAAAATTCAACTCCCTGAAAAAAGTTATAATTAACAAAACCATGATTTTCGGATCACTGCGTTCATGTGTTCAATATTATTAAGAAATTTTCTAAGTCCAGTATTTGATGGGTCAGACACCAGCTCCTAGGATTTGAGATTGAACACAGAAACCTCGTGACCAAGTTTTATTCATCGTTTACTGACTGATAGTTAATTAAACTTAACGCGGTAAACACGGAATATGGTGGTACAAAGGTGACATGACTCGTCACATGAGTATATTTTTATTTATCTCGTGGCCACGAGATACTATGTCGTGGCCACATAACTCCCAGCCAATTATCATCAGCCGCCATGAGTTACTAAGTCGTGGCCACGATATAGCTAAGTAGTCGTGGCCACGAGATACTATGTCGTGGACACGAGTTACTAAGTCGTGGCCACTAGATAGATAAGTCGTGGCCACGAGATACCAAGTCATACTATGTCATGGCCACGATTTACTAAGTCGTGGCCACGAGATAATTAACCAATCAGAATACAATATATATTATGAATTTTTGAAATTTAAAGGGACTCCACTGAGGTTTAAAAGCCTAAAAACATTACATTAGAATTTCTTACATAAATGAACTTGGGAGCTTTAAACAGAAATATATGCAAAGATAGTTAAGAAATATGCTTTAAAATAAATCAAAAATCGCAGTTTTATGCTTTTCTTAGCCTAATTTGAGTGAAAAGCGATTAAAGGCTTTTCATTTTGGGTCATTTTTTTTACAATTTGAATAATTATTATTGAAAAACGAAGTGCGCGAATGATCTGAAAGTTTGCACAAAGATTCGTGGTCTACACCTAAATCAAATGGAACATTTATCTGGAAAAAATATTTTCAGTCCCATCATGTCAAAAAAAACCTCAGTGGATTCCCTTTAACAACTAACTTTTACATGCAACATTTATCGTTGAAAATACTGAAGATATTCACTTTGAACTTGTCTTAAGGATTATATTAGAAAGTCACCTTCCAAGGCACATCATACATTAATTTTGACTATAGCTCTTTGTTGGGACAATTTTGTGATCAAATTAGCCAGTTTGTACGTACTACGGCCTGCTAAACTCGTTCATACGATAACATAAGTCCTGGTTTATTTTATTTGGAAAGGACATTGCCCATGGACAGTAGATAGTCCTTGTCTGATGAATAATTTAGAAGGGATAAGCTATGGTTTATATAACCCAGAAAGATCATTGCACCTGATCAGTAGATGACATCTTATAATTTCGAGGTCATTGGCTCAAAATCAGGGTCACAGTGACGCAAAATGTAAAATTATTAACCAGTTAATAAGTTGTATAAATGGCACTTTGACAGGCTGGTGAAGTAGGGGCATCCTTGTACTATAGAACAGTCGTGTCTAGTTAATTAGGGAAATTCATATAAATTGTGTAATCTGATTAGTTATTTATCTCGTGGCAGTAACTCGTGGCCACGACTTTGTAACTCGTGGCCACGACATAGTATCTCGCCACGACTTAGCAACTCGTGGCCACGACATAGTATTTCGTGGCCATGACTTGCTTGTTTGTACTAAGACCCTTCCCATTTCCCTTCTATCCAGTCTGGCATAAGGATTTTTCAGAAAATCATCATGAATTACTTTTCTGGAACAATAGATATTATATTAAATAAAAATTATGTATCAATGTTATCATTTTCGGGCGTTTTCGATCCAGCGGGGTTCTACCGGGGCTCTGCCTGGATCGTCCTGGGCTCTGCCTGGATCGACCGGGACTGTGCCTGGATCAACCGGTTAGTTGGGAACTACCGTAGTGTTGCCGGGGTAAGTGTGACTGCAATAATAATTTCACCCCGGATCATCCCGGTAACTTACCGGGATGGTCCTGGGCTCTGCCGGGAGTAAGTGAGACCGCAGCTTAGGCAACCATCTATACAAAAAGGCAATTTACATCTCATTGGCATGTCCAGATATGACAATTTAACATAGAGTTATGGCTGTGTTATTGCCCAGAATATTTATCATGTACAAAGAATATTACTGTTTATGTCATGTCATGATAAATATATAAATAAAACCTTTTAATATTACATGCTTTTCGATGGTTTATAGAAATATATCTCATTCAGTGAATTAAAACTGATAATTTGACTGTTTGAAACAGTGAAATTATCAATTTAATAATTTCAATGTTTTGAATTTAAGCCCCTTACGTTGTTTCAGTGAAATACCAGCGTACACAGAATTGGAAACCAACTTAATAACGTGACGTAATTATTTGGCGCGTTATTCATTTAGTATTAGGTAAAAATGTCCTTTTTAACGTTTGTTTGCATATAATAAAATGAACTTTTGTTTAGTTTAGTTGAAGATCGAAATATATTTCACCTCGTGAACACCAAAAGTTCACATTCAAATATACCTTTTGGTGCTCACTCGGTGAAATATATTCCGATCTTACACTGATCTTAACAAATATCCTCTATATGTATTCAGTTGTTGTGTTAGTAATAACCATGCAGTACTCGGCGGGGGATATAAATTCAACGAATTTGCTTGTTTTCTTTGTATTTTGTTGTGTTGGTTACTATAATAAATCATTTTTACACTTTTTCGTGCTTTAAAAGTTCATTTGATACCCGTTTTCAACCGTAAGCAATATAATAAATATTTTCAGACCTACCGACCCTTTTTGGCTTGCAGCCACGGCTGCAAGCCATTTCATTTGGAAAACCTGTTCCGGTTAGGTGGTTTTCTGCTTACATTTATAAGTGCATGATTGAACGGGAAACCAGCTGAAATCGTGCCAATCGCAACTTTTCGGCCTTTTCCGTCACTCTTCGGATTAATGATAATAGCCGATGTACTTCCGATTACAATCGTGACAATTCGGGCGATTCCGTCATACTGCGGAATCAGACGAAAGTAATATTACGGAAATCTAAGCTATTTTAGTTACTTCGGTAATCCCAGTTTGTTTATATAAATAGGATTCGTATTTTTACTTGATTTATTGATTTAAACCGTAATAAATTATAAACGAAAATTGTTCCGTTTCAATTCTTTTCAAGACGCAAAAGTTAGTTTCTTTTTATAATTGTTTTTTGTCTGTATTAGTTTTACACAATAGAGGATGTTGACTGTAGTAGTATTCCGTCTTCAAAGGGTCGTCCAAATCACACAGTGCATGATCGAGTTATATTTAGATCTACTGAACTTGGTGAGGTAATCTAAAAATAGCCCATGCATATCATTAACCTTACCACGTGATGATTTATGTATAGCGCATCGTATCTGGGAACATGCTTATTAATTAAATGAAATGTGCACACTTGTTTCCTTTCAGTATGATAGATCTTCACGTTAGTATTTTTACGATTGATTATTTTCTTTATTAGTTTTATACAATAGAGAATAGATTTCAAATCGTTTTGACAAAAATATTCGTTTTTACAAAAATAAAAACAAATAAATATGTTGGGATGAAGGCACAACTGTGCAAGCCTTTCCTTTTAAAAGGAAACTTTATTTCCGGTTACGATAATAATATGAGAGATCACGTTAAACTGGTGAATCTGTCGTCCAAGCATAAACACGACACATATTGTTTAAAATTATCTTCATGTAAATCACCAGAAAGCTTTTAGCTAAAAAAAATGGCGGGGGAGATTAAATGCACGACCCTGTTCCTGGAAGCGCCTGTGTCTGAATAATAATGTTTGAAATCAATTGATACGTTAGTTTTGTGTATCTAAAACTAAAATTTGTACAACGATGTTGGACTAAAATTAATATGTTCTAAAAATCGGAAACAATGTGTGAGCTCAAAGGTAAGATACATTTTTTTCAATCGCTCATGTCATTGTAGACAACTGAATTTGTTTAGTTGTTGTTGTTTCTTTAGTTGATAGTATTATGGTATCTGATGTACCATCAAGTGAAAATATCATGAACAAATTTATACCACTAAATGAAAAGACATAATCAAACTTGTGAGTGAATCAAAGTCAACAACATGTGAGTTGGACGTTATGCCAACACCAAAGCTGAAAGAAAATCTTCATTTGCTTGCACCTGTTGTGACAGAAATCGGTCATTGTCTTCTGGTGTTTTTCCAGAGACGTGGAAGAGCGCTGTTATCAAGCCCCTTTTGAAAAAGAAAGACCTTCCCTTAGAATTGAAAAACTATCGGCCTGTATCAAACCTGTCATTCTTGTCGAAAATTCTTGAAAAAGCTGCAATAAACCAAATTTCAAGCCACATTGAGTCCAACAATTTGTTACCATCTTACCAAAGTGCATGCCGTAAATTTCAAAGTGTTGAGTCTGCTATGATGAAAATGTACAGTGATCTGCAGCCGCCATGTGACAATAGTTGTAAGGATTGATTTAAGCGCCGCCTTCGATACTATCGATATACCAATATTACTTGAAATCCTTCAGAAAGACTTTGCCATACAGGGTATACCATTAAAGTGGATCGAATCTTATTTAACCAACAGAGATATGAAAGTTGTCATTGAACAGTCCTCATCGGATACTGAACCACTGGGGTTCGGGGTTCCCCAGGGTTCTTGTGCTGGACCGGTGATATTTACT